TACTTCAATGCACTAGGTAGGGTAGACATGAAGTGCCTAATGCCCAACCAATCTAGGATATGTCCCCATACTGCAAAGCTGATTGGACAGGAGAAAAAAATATGATGCTCAGTCTCATCAGCAATTCCACAAAAAATGCACCTTCGGTCAATTTCCAAATGCTTCAATTTATCTTTTGTTAGTAACTTCAATTTAGCTCCTAACCAAAGGATAAAAGCATGTTTTGGGGCGACATAGGCATTCCAAATTGTTGCTGTCCAGGCAGTCTTCGTCCCCTTTGGTCTGAGAAAATCATAGGTTGTTGTCACAATAAATCTGCCTTCGGCTGTGCATGCTGTCAATCTATCCATTGTAGCCTTAGTTGCTATTTCAGGCCGTGCTGTGTCAATTGTTGGTTGATCTGGTCGTTGAGGTTGTGAAAACTTATCACGTATTTCCATAATCTTTTAAGTAGTGGAGAGTCGTCTTTCCTTGCCGTGTAGTCCCAAATGTCCCTACCACCAAGGAAAATTAGATTTACCCACTTCACCCAAAGTGTATCTTTTTTGCTATAGATGTTCCAAAGAGTTTTTGCAAGAATTGCCGAATTCCAGCATTTAGTTTCCCTAAATCCAAGCCCACCTTCATGTTTTGGTAAGCAACTACTATTCCAAGCAACCAACGGTTTTTTTTGAATCCCAAAGAAAGTTACGGCATAGACTAGTAACCTTAGATGCAACCATGGACGGAATAGGAAGAATGGAAAGCCAAAAACATACAACACCTTCTAGGACGGCTCTCACTAGTTCCATTCTCTGCACGAAAGATAACGTAGCCCTCGACCATGCTCCAATGTAGTCCTTAATTTTGTTGATAAGTGAATCATAGGAGCTGATTTTAAGTTTTTCCACCGCAAGTAACGAAAAGGCATAGATCCTTTCACTAAGTTTGTTTGTTGAAGAATATCCTCAAACTCTTGTCCATGGACACCCGCTGTGTACAAGTTTGACTTGTTAACATTTATCTTTAATCCGGACATTTCTCCAAAGTTAGATAAACACTCCATTAAAGTACCAACCGAGATAGCATCCCCTCTAGCAAAAAGTATCAAATCATTCGCAAATGCTAGGTGGGTAATCTTCAATGGGCCACATTTAGGATGGGAGTTAAATTCACTATTTTCAGTAGCTCCCTTCAACATTCTTGATAAGTACTCAAGGCAAATAACAAACAAGAAGGGAGATAGCGGATCACCTTGACGAAATCCCTTCTTTCCTTTTATGAATCCATGGAAACAAACATTCAATGCAATGGAGTATGAAGGCATCGAGATACATTCCATCACCCATCCGATGAATTTTGTTGGAAATTGGACCCCTTCAAGCACACTTTTTAGAAAATCCCAATTAACTGAATCATATGCCTTCCTTAAATCAATTTTAAGATGCAACTCTTTTGCGGTTATATTGCCTTAAGAGCTCTTGAGCAAGATTAATGTTTTCTGTCATGCTTCTACATTCCACGAATGCGACTTGTGATTCATCAATAATATGCCCAAGAATAGGCCTCAATCTAGAAGCAATGATCTTTGTGATAACCTTATAGAAAACATTGCAACAAGCAATAGGTCTATAATC